ATTTGTGAATCCTTCCCACTGAGGAGTCAAACATTCAGTTCTGTCCCAGCATAAGAAAACATCCATACAGTGAGATAAATATGAGGTTTATTGATCAGAGATGATGGTCATAGGAGCCCAATTAAAACAAAGAATCTGTTGACCAATATAGAGTTAACCAGTCCAACAGCCGTGTACGTGGCAAACTTGGACGGCACTTCGATCTCCTTCCTCCTCCTGGCATTTTCATCCGTTCTAGGAAACCCGTACCAATAGTACAACAAGTCCAAACTCAGCTTTTTCACTATCTGCCGCGTCCCCACCAGGGCAACAACTCCAACCAGGCTGCGTCCAACACCTCTAGCCAGAGACAGCGCCGTCAGCGGGGGTAGGGGAACCGGTAGCGCCTCCTGGGGCTCGAAGGTGTGGCCCAGTTGCACGTTTGTCCAGTATCCCACCGAGCAGCCGGCGCACACTCCCAGGATGGTGGTGGTGTCGCCCCGTGTGGTGCTGTAATGGTCCAGCTCTGGATATGTGTAGCTTAGAAAGAGCAGCAGCGACAGAGCGACGATGGGGGACAGAGGGTTGGTCAGCTGGAACCTATCGAACGTCTCCCAGTAAGGGTAGCTGAGCAGAATCAGGAATCCAGTGATCAAAACGCCGCAAATCACATCCTGAAAGCACAACGACCGTTTAGCCAGAACGCCTCATTTGGTTACAAGCTTCTAATTATAGAGTTTTTACATCTAAGATCGTGTAAATATGAGGATGTTGATCTTTTCCTGCTTAATGGCTCACCAGAACCGAATGCATGCCAGTGTAGAGGCGGCTCAGAGACACCAAAGTAGACATCGTCACGGCGATCAGCAGGCCGGCCTGGAAGCAGAACTGGGACAGAAAAACACACATTTAGCACAAACCGTCTCTGTGATAAAACCATGAGAGGAAAATAAAGCCGCTTTGTTTTCCGTTTATGAAGCTTTTATCAGTCGTCTTCCTTTTCAGCTTTTATTTGTCCCAGTATGGGCAATTTTCTGCAGTAGTAGTGCACCTTTCACACACATGTTCACATTTG